CAGTTTAGTAATCCGTTCGCTCAGTTTAGTAATCCGTTCGCTCAGTTTAGTAAACTGTGCTCACGGATTTCCAGTGGCTGTTTTTTTTTCTCCCACTGACCCCCCGGCGGGCTCCATAGAACTAAGTAAATGATTAAATATTTCTTTGTTTCAGCCACTCTCATCTGCAGGGGTCACCGCCGCCGCCGCGAGCAAACCCGTGCAAAAGACTTGGCAATCGTTTTACACCGGATGCCCTTCTTTACAAAACCTGGGTTTGAACCTGCAGCCTCAGGGATTACGAGACCACCGCGCTGTCCACCAAGCTACTGCAGCCCCTATAAATAAATATCACAGATTAAAGTGTCTAAATCTGAGTTTTTCCTCTATTAATGTGTTTTGTTGATCTCATATTGCGGTGACAATATTGATGAGGTCTGTCAACAAAGTTCAATTAATGAAGAAAACGTTCTGTCGGTGAGAAATGTTCAGTTTGTGAAGAAAAGCTCAAAGAACTGTCTGCATCACTCTGTCAATGTTACTGCATTATTTGCGTTTATAAAATTTTGCATTAAATAAACATATATCCAATACAATAAACAAAAAGTAGCTTTACAAAGTAGCTCCACTTTTTATTGATTTTTGCTAGTGATCAAAGATCAAGATTTGTTTTTCCCCTTTCATGCCATCATTAAATGTGATCACTTCTCACTGGTCACACAGCTACTGATGACACAAGACTGATGTGAAGCAGAACAAACAGCTTTAAGTAGAGCAATAAAGTCTCACGGATATAAAAATTTAATTGTTTATTCATTTCATTTATCATCTATACAGTTTTAAATTGGCTCTTAGAAAAAGAGGAACAATGCACATTCCTTGTCAGCCAGGGTCACATTTGTTATAACCTCTCCTCCCGGAACAGGAAGAACCTGGGCAGGGCGATTTAAACTTTAGAAAAGTCCAGATTTATTTATTTATTTATTTATGGAAACTATTTAGACTGATAAATAAATTAGAAATAAAACACTACAGCGTAGTCTATTAAAAAAAATACCATAGCTGCTGCCGGTCTACTTTACCTCTCCTCCCCTATGTTAAGGTAATAAGGGTTGCGCTACCTTCGGGGAGCTCCACGGTTCTGGCCCGGCGGAGAGAGCGGGTCAGGCGGTTCAGTTGTACGTTTAGCTGCTCCATGGCCCGTTCCATCATAGGCGGACGGTCCACGGGAAGGAGGAGGCTCACAGGAAGCTGTCAGGACAGGACAGCAGCGTTATGGTGATGTTTCTGGGCGGCGGCCATCGAAGCTGACGAACAGCAAACCTTCTGTCAGGTAAACACGCTGATGACTGAAGGGTTTATTACTCACTCTGCCCGTCCGAACCACCAGAACCACAGCCTTCTCCTACGCCAGCTTCTCGTGCTTCCTGTTGTGATGACGTTTAGCAACGTGAGTGACGTAGTCTTAAAGGGCCTACAGCCCTGAGCGTTTTATTTATTTATTTATTTATTTATTTATTTCAAAAAAGCCTTTACACGAGGTAATAATGCATAATAAAGGTGCATTTTTTTTGGATGACAAGCAATAAGTTGAGTAGTGACAACTGCAAAATAAATAAATAAACAAATACTGAAATAAATCTGTGCATATATTTCCAAACTCCTGCACAGAACTAATTACAAATACGTCTTTACTGTACTTAAGTAGAATTTTTGGGTATTTATTTGAGTAATTGTTTTTCTGCCTAATTTTTACTTTCACTTCTTACATTTTCACACAATTATCTGTACTTTCTACTCACTACATTTTTAAAAAAGGCCAGAAGTAGAAAGTCATTACTTTTATTTCATTTTGCCTTTTTTTATTCCAGCTTGTTATTATAAAACATAAATACTATCCATATAAATAGTGCCTCATGGATAGAGTGAATTTAATTGTGGTTTAATGAGAAGAATAATTATATACAATTCTGATACCATATTAGTTTGTGCACAAACAAATCATGTCACACTCCAGCAGGACACAATCATTAAAATTAAAGGACTGTACTTATGAAGTATTTGTATTTCATGAATTGTATTATTGCATTTGGCTTCAGCACTCGGATAGATTTTTATTTTTGTGAAAAGGTTTGGGCAGCCTTGATATAAACTGAAACAGCAAGACTAGTGCATCCTAAATATAACGTAAATTAATTATTTTAATACAACATTTCTGCATTTTG